TTGGGGTTCCAAGTGAACCGTACCGTTACCAAAACGTGACGTGTAAACTCTGCTGATCACGGATTGGCCAAAGAGAATCGTCACTACCTGCGTCACTGAACTTGCGACACAAACACAAAAGAACCGCTAGATTTAAATCAAAAAGTTTTGTTGTCTGTTGCGGTATCATTGATAGCAGAGGAGCGGATCCAGCGAGAGCTTGATGGGCCGATGCGGAATGAAAAAGTTTTTTTCTTTTAGGAGTCGTGGTTGTAGAGGTGGCGCAACTATAACGACATGTGAATAATCCCGCCCACTCTAAAGCGGTACTGAACTGCAGTGGAAACGCAAACCGTGCCAAGCCGAACCATGCCGTACGGAGCCGAGCCGAGTTGTACCACGCAGTGGAAAAGCTCCATTTGAAGCTGCTATAGGCCATTGATGTGCACTTTTGTGGAGCCCATGTTAGTACATGCTTGGCAAAAGTGCACATAAATGATGACAACCCAAAAGCCTATGTGAAATTACGAAGGACAGCAAGGGTTTAGGGTGGTATTGGGGACAGGGCCAAAAGAAAACTGATAGCAGAACACAATGTACACTGGATGTTGCATTCTCAGTGTTGCCACAAAGGGTGCTGTAGTGGGTACTACAGTGCCTTTATGCCAACATTGAGAAAGCCACATGTGCTTGCATTCTGACAAATTTCAGATGCTTCAGTTTGATTTAATTTGCATTCACATACTTGAGTAGAGTGTCCTTAATCACTTTTTCGCATGTATCAGATACAATTTTGCTAGGTATTTTTCTCTTTTCTGGTAGGTGAGGTGTTTAGCTTGCGATCATCGCTCAAACACAGTAGAGCCCTTCTGGGATCTTTCTTTGGAATTCCCGGAACGTTACCACAGCAACAGTAAGGATGCTGCACAGGTTCCGTGTGGGTTGACAGAGATGCTGGCCAAGTTTACAGAAACCGAGGCTTTGGAGGGAGCAATTTATGCTTGCGACCACTGCAACAGTGAGTTGGAAACACTAACATACAATGCTACTTTAATGAAACGTTTGGGATAGTAAATAGCTTGCAATTTGAAGGGGATATCATGGCACTCAAAGGTGAAGTGTGTCATTTCTGCACCACTAGTGACCAGTAAAGGGGATGGTTAAACGGTTGTTAAACAACTAGGGATGCACCGATATGAAAATTTTGGCCGATACCGATAACCGATTATTCTTTATTTTTGAAAGCCGATAACCGATATGTTGGCCGATAAATCTATATCCAAATTGTTATATACTTTTTGAGAGCCTGATTACAAAAAAGGTCTCATCATTAAAAGTCACATCCCAAACACCTCAACATAAGCAGCCTAGTTTGAACGGTGTACGTTTTAAAAATATTTTTACTCTCCCATTACCAAATTTAGTCATAAAAAAGTCTTACAAATAAATAAAATTATGCATAAATAATGCAAACAAGTCACTGGACATCATTACACGTGTAAAGAATCAAAATGAATGCGCCATAGATCAATAAAACGGAATAGCCTCTGCACGGACAATAATTAAATGATTTTAATTACTAAACCATATTGTTGATGAAAATAAGAGAAAAATACAAGTGGTTGTTGTTATTAATAATATATCAATGATTTTGAAAAAGTAACAAATGAATACCACTGTTTTAAATAGCAGCCGTTGAGCTGCACGTGCTGAAGCTGAAGAGCTGAATGAACACGGTAAACTGAAGCGTTTTGCTGGCAGCTTATTTAACTCAAGGAAATGCATCCTGAGATTAATATTAATACAACATAAACATAATATTACAACTTATATATGAAATGACAAATGACGCAGTTATTGCATGCTATAGTCAGAATGTGTGATCCTGTTGTGGATGCGCTCTTCCCATAACAACGCGCTGAAACACAGCAACTAAACCCAAAGAATTCACAACGTTTTATTATAATAATGTTCTCATTAGAATGTTATATACACGACATTCCCAATCATAGTTATTAATGTTGTGCACTGCTGTTTGAGCTGCGTGCGCTGAGCTAAAGATGATCACCGGTAAACTGAAGCGCTCTTTTAACTTAACCAAACGCATTCTATATGAGATCAATCAGATATACATCAAATAAACACAATATTACAATGTACAATTGCACAAAAGGCTGCAAACGAACAGCGCGCATCTGAAGTGTCTCTGAAGGAAATAATGCATTATTTATCGGCTTTAAGATATCGGCCAAATTTTCTTATCAGGCCGATACCGATAACAGAAAAAATGAGCCGATATGGGCCGATACCGATATGGTGGCCGATATATCGTGCATCCCTATAAACAACCCAGTGCCCGACTTTTGATCAGCCAGTCAAACAGATAACACCTAAACTCACATCAATGGCCAAGCCTGAAGTAGTTGTTGAGCTGCTCAAACAAAGAGAGCAATATTTTGAAAGCGTCACAGTGTTTACACTCTTCAGGATATCAACACTTTAATGGCTAACTTAGTCGTCTAAACATTAAACTGAGATAAAAGAAAGTACTACAGTATCAAAAGAACACACCTTACTTTTAAGTTTCACCTCAAAGGCTTAAAGCTCCTCCCAGGGAGTTAATCCCACTCATCAAATATGCTTTAATGCAGTTTTTGTTTTGCCGTCTTTTTAAGGCAAACAACGGCGATTCTGTTCAAAGCAGGTGGTCTTGACTGAAGCTCAAAAACAGCTGATGGTTCACAAACTGCCTCATGTTCTCAGGCTGCACCTCAAACGCTTCAGGTACACGTTTACATAAACATGAACGACTTTCCCAGCTTTGAGCTTGCTGTTACCAGTCGGATGTTAATGCGTACACGTGTATGTTTAGGTGGTCTGGGCGAAACCACAGGGAGAAGATTGGCGTTCACGTTCAGTTTGAGCAGGAGCTGAACATGGAACCCTACTGCTGCAAAGACTCCAGTAACTTCCCCCACCCTCAACACTTCCTCTACCAACTCTCAGCTGTCGTCATGCATCATGGGAAGGGATTTGGCTCTGGCCACTACACTGCTTTTTGCTATAATACAGAAGGAGGTAAAATGTGATTCTTTTCATCTGCCACTTCTGAATGGCCTACTCTGTCAATCTGTTGTACTTTTGCAGGATTTGCGCAATGATACCAAAAGATGTATTGTAAACCAACTTATCCTTTTTCTTTTTAGGGTTTTGGGTGCACTGTAACGACTCCAAACTGAGTGTGTGTGCCGTGGAGGAAGTGTGTAAGGCCCAGGCCTACATTCTCTTCTACACACAGAGAAACTCTCAGGACAAAAGCAAAGCCAGTGACCTCTGACCCCTTCCGAGTACCCCATGAACCACAGAGACTGTTTGTTTTGTACATTCTGTTAATACAGTTAGCTCCTTTTTCTAGTGTACAGCAAATGTGGCGAGTATGTTTTTGTCACGCACACTTATGCCTTACAGTTTTACAACTGACAGATTTCGGTAGGAGGCATTCTTGCAGTGATTGTAGCGTTCGTTTGTGCGCGTGAACGAAGGGAGTGAAATTGGTCCAAGTCGGCAGCATTAATGCCACTCTCATCGGTGTCTGAATGTATTCCTGATTGTCGTCCACAAACCAAAGTCGAGTTGTGAATGTGTACCGAGCCTGTTTGTAGCGTCAGTATGAAAGAAGGCGCAAGAAACGGATGTTTTTTTTTCTCTTCATGTCACAAGTGTTTTAATATCTTCAACCAAGTGCCCTGCCAAGTCAAATCAGTTTAAAGACAAGACTCGATTCAGGAATTTTTTCTGTCACCTCCTCGGAATGTAGTTTTATACCTGGTATTTGGGTAGAGATTTCTTTTTTCCATTTTACAGGAAAACGTAAAAGACTTTTTCACCAGCAAAAGACATCGGATGCTGTTATATTCTCCCCCTGTCTGTGTGTGGCGTTAATGACCGTTCTCTGTAGTTTGTACAATTTGTTGGATGTTTGTGCGACGCACACACTTGCTCAAATATCTTACGGCGTTTCCACATCTTGTTTGTTGTTCAAATCCATTTTCCTCCTCCGCTTTTGAGCAGGAATAGATGTAAAACTATGCAAATTGTTACCTCAATTCATAGAGAAATTTACCTCAATAAAAGGAGAATATTTTTGCATTTTTCTAAACAACTTGTCACCTGTTTTCTTTACTGTTTTAAAGGTTGTCTTGAGACTTTGGTGAAATTAAGTTTCTATGAAATGTGCATGTCTCTTGATATTTTTTAAGTCTTTTAAACTATTGAAAACCAAGACTAATTCATAAAACATGTGCAGAATGCAAATCCTTTATAAACCATTCTTTCATAATTGTCACGTGTAAATCATCATAAAACCTAAAACTGTTGTGTAAATTGTTGAATTATACTCCAATGTATAAAATGCGTCATTTGTTCACAAAACCTAAAAACATTCTTGCGCAAATTGCAGCATGTAATGCGTTAAACTACTGTACAGCTGCATCCTGCCATATGTAAATGAATACAAGGCATAAATTATTAATAAAATCATTCTTATGTAATTGTCTCATTCAATGCACAAATAGTTCACAAACCTAAAACTATTTTAAATGGCTGCATTGGACTAATTTCATAAAATGCCTGGAAAACCTAAAAAATTTTCTTGCGTAAATCGCCACATACAATGCAGAAATTATTCGTAAATCTAAAACCACTGTTATGCAAATAGCTGTATCATGCTAAATGTGTACATTTACACAATGCATAAATGAATAAAACCATTATGCAAACTGTAAAAATCATTCTCGCATACGTTGCGCATACAATTCAGAAATTAGTCATAACATTTACATAATTCTAATTACAAATCTTATTTTGAGCAGAGTTTCCTCATTATGTCAGCTACTATTTGAACATGATTTCGGTTTCAAAGTTTGTGCTCTTGATAAACCGAAATGCTAATGTCAGGAATAATAATCATGCAATAGCCTGCAATGAAAGATTTAACCTGTAAAGAACTACAAACACTCTGAAGTATTGTACAATTTATTTAGTCTTTTTTTTAAAAAGAATTCCGGGAGTTCAAAATGTAATAGGTACTAGATGAGACAGCCATTTGATATTATACAAATACCAAAAAAACTCTAAAAGCTGTGCGCATTACGGATTTATTTCCTGATGAATTTGTTTTTCTCGCAAAAGCCCTTCAGTGACGTGTAAAGCCAAGCAGCCATACTCTTTACATTCTCTCATTCACTACACAGAGTACAAATGAGTATAAAGTCTTCATCTCGCTCACTTCGGGCACTGACTCGTACCCATGCATAGTATTTTCATGCCTTACTTAATGCTGAGTATATGTTGCGCGTTCACAGCAGCATTTCAGGTATTAAACTAGTTTATTCTTTTAAGAATGCCTATATGTTTGTGTATGTTTTTGCATGGGACTGGAGTGCGAGTGTTTATGCATATGTACGTCTCAGTAGTCGTCTCCGCGGCTCACGACTTCCTTGCACGTAGGTCTGAGCAGGATGGTGTGTTCGAACTGAGCCGTGTACGAGCCCTTGGCGTCACAGAGAGGGGGGTAGGGGTCGATGATGCCCAGGTCACACAGGTTCTTCAGGGCCATCAGGTACTTGCTTTCACCCAAACGGTCGAGCCAGCGGCGACAGAACGCTAGGGTGCCGAAGTTCTCGTTCACAACATTTAGCAAGTGCTTTGCCCTGGGCAGCCTGAAGTTCATTAAAGCAAGCATACAAAGAAAACAATTTTTGCTAATTGTTTAGAAATCATTCTCATATAATTGTCACATTCTATGCGGGTTATTTCATAAAACCTAAAAACCGAGATGAATATTATAAATTGCTGCATTTGACTAAATGCATAAAATTAGGAAATTGTTCCGAAAATTGTTCATATGCAATGACAGCATTCAGTGTGTAAATAGTTTGCAAAACCCAAAAGCATTCTTGCATAAACTGCAGTGTTCAATGGATGCATTGTTCGTAAACCTACAAGTACTGTGTAAACAGCAGCATCAAGTTGTCAAGTTCAACTGCATAAATGTGTACATTTATAAAAAGATTCTTACGTAATTGTCGCATTCAATGCACAAATCTTTTTACAAAACGTAAAAATTGTTTTTGCGTATAATGCATGAATCGTTTGTAAACATAAAACTGTTGTGTAAATAGCTACATTGTGCTAACAAGTAAATTCATACAATGCGTTAATTATTAATAAACCATTCTTATGAAATTGTCGCATTCAGTCGGAAAATGTTTTCAGGTTTTTGCGAACAACTCTCACATATAAAGTTATTTGTAACCCTAAAGTTGTGTAAACAGCTGCATTATGCTAAATACACGAATGTAAAATGTGTCAATGCACACAATGCGTAAATTATTAATAAAGCCACCCTTACGAAATCAACTAATTTAATGCATAAATTATTTGCCATACCTAAAAACATTCAAATCATTAATGCATAAAAATATAAATGCATACAATGCGTAAACAAATACTTATGAAATTGTTGCATTCAATGCGTAAACGTTTTCAGTTCTTGCGAACAATTCTCACATATCTTGCATAAATCATTCCTAAACCTAAAACTGTTCTGTAAATGCCTGCATTGTGGCAAAAACATAAATGTAAAATGCGTAAATACAAACAACACAAAAATGATTACTAAAACCATACTTATGAATTTGACGCATTCAATGCATAAATTGTCAAACGACGAAACGGATCTTCCAGAAATGCTACATGTGCTCATTTAAATGTATGAACGGCTGATTATCATTGGCTCTTACCTGATTGGCACATGTCCAACATCAAAGTTCTTCATGTAATGCGAGCAGTCCATGTCATCGTGGACCACTCCTTTACCAGTGCTGCCGAACGTCTCGATAGCGTACACCTCCCCTTCCTGGACGTGAATGGAAATTAATAGAGAGGCAGTCAAAATATTTACACATTATTCTATAATAGTGCTGTCAAACGATTAATCGCATCCAAAATAAAAGTTTTTGTTCACATAATATATGTGTTTGTACTGTGATTATTTATTATGTATACATAAATACACACCCATGCATGCATATTTAAGAAAAATATGTTACGTTTATATATTAAATATATTTATATATAATATAAATTATATGAATATAAATATATACATGTAAATATTTTCAAAATATATACTGCATGTGTGCATATTTATATATACATAATATACACTACACACAGATGTATTATGTAAATAAAAACTTTTATTTTGAATGCGATTAATTTTGTTTGACAGCACTATTCTATAAACATGAAATTGAATGTCATATATTCCCATTTTAGTCTTTCAACAATTTAAATGTCTGAGTTTCTCACAAAGTATAATTATAATGTGTACAGAAAGTAAACAACTTGCGCAATTAGCTTTTTCACACTGCAGTAAGCAATGACGATATGCTAGTATATGCTAGTATAAATGTACAGGATACTGAGCATCATTTGTATCCTACTGTACACAAATAATATTGTATACAAAGTAGTATAAACACTGCCTATGTTTTGTTTTTATTACATACAATTGTAAGTAACAACAAAAGTTTCAACTGTAGTATACTGCACTGTTGTCATCTCATGTCATAAATAAAAATGGCTGCTTTTTTCAGTTTTATTGCAATTTTGTGTTGTAAAAATGTCAATACGATCTTACTTATGAATTGCAGCTGATCTTACTTACTAATATTACTTTACTGTTTAAAAAAGCTGAACATGAATTTCAGCGCAAAGCTTCCGTTTTAATGGTGAAAGCGTGAGGAAAGCGGTAAGTAGATAAACTTTTAATATTTGACATTTTACGACAGAAATGGTAAACAACCAACAGAAATATCTAGTGCAAACTACTCTACTTTTTTGTTAAATTTTGCCAATAGAAAATACGGTAACCCTTTATTTTAAGGTCCAATTCTCACTATTAAGTAGTTGCTTATTAGCATGCATATTACTAGCGTATTGGCTGTTTATTAGTACTTAAAGCACATATGAATATTCTAGATCCCTTAACCCGACCCAATGCTTAAACTTAACAACTACCTTACTAACTATAAATAAGCAGCAAGGGAAAACTCTTAGTTAACAGTGAATGTGCGTTCCCTATTCTGAAGTGTTTCCGAAAATACATGCTATCATTCTGTCATGATTCATAACGAATGTGACGAATCAAGAAACATTAGGCATACGTTTTGTTTAAGGAATTGGGATCATGTCAAATTTCAAGACATGGTTACAGCCTTGTTCCGGTTAATATGTGAAAGGTCAAGGTGAGTGCATTGCATTATGGGATACAGTTTTCCATACAGTATGACTCCATACTGCAGAAATAGTAAGAGGAGTAATCTAGTACGCTGAATTGAAACGTACACCTTCAAGATTAGAGAAAGGTGTGAAATTCCATGCATACTGCACAAAGTATACATACTGCATAAATAGTAATAGTAGTATGCTATTCCAGACATAGCCAAAGTAACACGGACACCTTTAAGGCAACATAAAATGATATGACATCAACACACACACACCTCCATTCTGGTGGCTTCTCCTCCCTTCACTATAGGCACTGTTTTACCAGCATGTATCCGATACTGACCAATAGAGTGTCCGTTCAGATTGCGAATAGGTTTGACTGAGGAAATACACACAAAATGAGGTGCACTTAAGGGATTCAAATCAGTATTAACAATTTCCAATAAATAATGTATTTCATCAATACCTTGATACGTTTTGCCATCTATTTCAACCTCGTACGACTCCATCACTTCTTGTATTGATTCTCCAACATCACAAAGACGTACATCTATACCTGCACACTGTGGAAAGAAAAAAAGTTATTTCCGCACACACACACACACAATAACTTTATCATGTCAATCGCACACACACTCACCTTGATGCCCGTGTTGGTAGCATCTCTCACAGCCTCGAGCAAGCGGTCATACTTTGGATTGAAGGTGACAGTGAAGGCACAGTCAATGATCCTGCCTAAAACACACAGTACATTTTTATTTAGTAAAAACCTTCTTAAATAAACCTACAAGTACTGTGTAAACAGCAGCATCAAGTTGTCAAGTTCAACTGCATAAATGTGTACATTTATAAAAAGATTCTTACGTAATTGTCGCATTCAATGCACAAATCTTTTTACAAAACGTAAAAATTGTTTTTGCGTATAATGCATGAATCGTTTGTAAACATAAAACTGTTGTGTAAATAGCTACATTGTGCTAACAAGTAAATTCATACAATGCGTTAATTATTAATAAACCATTCTTATGAAATTGTCGCATTCAGTCGGAAAATGTTTTCAGGTTTTTGCGAACAACTCTCACATATAAAGTTATTTGTAACCCTAAAGTTGTGTAAACAGCTGCATTATGCTAAATACACGAATGTAAAATGTGTCAATGCACACAATGCGTAAATTATTAATAAAGCCACCCTTACGAAATCAACTAATTTAATGCATAAATTATTTGCCATACCTAAAAACATTCAAATCATTAATGCATAAAAATATAAATGCATACAATGCGTAAACAAATACTTATGAAATTGTTGCATTCAATGCGTAAACGTTTTCAGTTCTTGCGAACAATTCTCACATATCTTGCATAAATCATTCCTAAACCTAAAACTGTTCTGTAAATGCCTGCATTGTGGCAAAAACATAAATGTAAAATGCGTAAATACAAACAACACAAAAATGATTACTAAAACCATACTTATGAATTTGACGCATTCAATGCATAAATTGTCAAACGACGAAACGGATCTTCCAGAAATGCTACATGTGCTCATTTAAATGTATGAACGGCTGATTATCATTGGCTCTTACCTGATTGGCACATGTCCAACATCAAAGTTCTTCATGTAATGCGAGCAGTCCATGTCATCGTGGACCACTCCTTTACCAGTGCTGCCGAACGTCTCGATAGCGTACACCTCCCCTTCCTGGACGTGAATGGAAATTAATAGAGAGGCAGTCAAAATATTTACACATTATTCTATAATAGTGCTGTCAAACGATTAATCGCATCCAAAATAAAAGTTTTTGTTCACATAATATATGTGTTTGTACTGTGATTATTTATTATGTATACATAAATACACACCCATGCATGCATATTTAAGAAAAATATGTTACGTTTATATATTAAATATATTTATATATAATATAAATTATATGAATATAAATATATACATGTAAATATTTTCAAAATATATACTGCATGTGTGCATATTTATATATACATAATATACACTACACACAGATGTATTATGTAAATAAAAACTTTTATTTTGAATGCGATTAATTTTGTTTGACAGCACTATTCTATAAACATGAAATTGAATGTCATATATTCCCATTTTAGTCTTTCAACAATTTAAATGTCTGAGTTTCTCACAAAGTATAATTATAATGTGTACAGAAAGTAAACAACTTGCGCAATTAGCTTTTTCACACTGCAGTAAGCAATGACGATATGCTAGTATATGCTAGTATAAATGTACAGGATACTGAGCATCATTTGTATCCTACTGTACACAAATAATATTGTATACAAAGTAGTATAAACACTGCCTATGTTTTGTTTTTATTACATACAATTGTAAGTAACAACAAAAGTTTCAACTGTAGTATACTGCACTGTTGTCATCTCATGTCATAAATAAAAATGGCTGCTTTTTTCAGTTTTATTGCAATTTTGTGTTGTAAAAATGTCAATACGATCTTACTTATGAATTGCAGCTGATCTTACTTACTAATATTACTTTACTGTTTAAAAAAGCTGAACATGAATTTCAGCGCAAAGCTTCCGTTTTAATGGTGAAAGCGTGAGGAAAGCGGTAAGTAGATAAACTTTTAATATTTGACATTTTACGACAGAAATGGTAAACAACCAACAGAAATATCTAGTGCAAACTACTCTACTTTTTTGTTAAATTTTGCCAATAGAAAATACGGTAACCCTTTATTTTAAGGTCCAATTCTCACTATTAAGTAGTTGCTTATTAGCATGCATATTACTAGCGTATTGGCTGTTTATTAGTACTTAAAGCACATATGAATATTCTAGATCCCTTAACCCGACCCAATGCTTAAACTTAACAACTACCTTACTAACTATAAATAAGCAGCAAGGGAAAACTCTTAGTTAACAGTGAATGTGCGTTCCCTATTCTGAAGTGTTTCCGAAAATACATGCTATCATTCTGTCATGATTCATAACGAATGTGACGAATCAAGAAACATTAGGCATACGTTTTGTTTAAGGAATTGGGATCATGTCAAATTTCAAGACATGGTTACAGCCTTGTTCCGGTTAATATGTGAAAGGTCAAGGTGAGTGCATTGCATTATGGGATACAGTTTTCCATACAGTATGACTCCATACTGCAGAAATAGTAAGAGGAGTAATCTAGTACGCTGAATTGAAACGTACACCTTCAAGATTAGAGAAAGGTGTGAAATTCCATGCATACTGCACAAAGTATACATACTGCATAAATAGTAATAGTAGTATGCTATTCCAGACATAGCCAAAGTAACACGGACACCTTTAAGGCAACATAAAATGATATGACATCAACACACACACACCTCCATTCTGGTGGCTTCTCCTCCCTTCACTATAGGCACTGTTTTACCAGCATGTATCCGATACTGACCAATAGAGTGTCCGTTCAGATTGCGAATAGGTTTGACTGAGGAAATACACACAAAATGAGGTGCACTTAAGGGATTCAAATCAGTATTAACAATTTCCAATAAATAATGTATTTCATCAATACCTTGATACGTTTTGCCATCTATTTCAACCTCGTACGACTCCATCACTTCTTGTATTGATTCTCCAACATCACAAAGACGTACATCTATACCTGCACACTGTGGAAAGAAAAAAAGTTATTTCCGCACACACACACACACAATAACTTTATCATGTCAATCGCACACACACTCACCTTGATGCCCGTGTTGGTAGCATCTCTCACAGCCTCGAGCAAGCGGTCATACTTTGGATTGAAGGTGACAGTGAAGGCACAGTCAATGATCCTGCCTAAAACACACAGTACATTTTTATTTAGTAAAAACCTTCTTAAAAGGTTAGTTCACCCAAAAATGAAAATGAGTCTGTGTTTTACTCACCCTCAAAGCATCCTAGGTGTATATGACTTTCTTCTTTCAGACGAATCCAATCGGAGTTATATAAAAAATTATCTTTGCTCTTCCAAGCGTTAGAATGGGAGTAGGCGGGTGTTTTTGTTCAACAGTCCAAAAGATGTCAAATAAAGCTTGCGCATCCATAATAAAACGTGCCTCATACGGTTCCGGGGGGTGAATAAAGGCCTCCTGTAGCGAATTGATGCGTTTTTGTAAGAAAAATATCCCAAGTTAAAACGTTATGAACTAGTGCTGTCAAACGATTAATCGCAATTAATCGCATCCAAAATAAAAGTTTTTGCATAATACATGTGTGTGTTCTGTGTATATTTATTATGTTTATATAAATACACACACATACAGTATACTTTGAAAATATTTATATTAATATAATTTATATTATAAATAAATAGATTTAAAGCTGCAGTCCGTAACTTTTTTTGTGTTCAAAATGTATATAATAAGCGAGTACACCATGAATCCATTTTCCAAACCGTGTTTTTGGCTTGTCCTGAATCACTACGGTACACCTATAATAAGTGTTTATATTCTGACTATTTAGACTGGTTCGGGTAGGGACCGCTGCGGAGTAGCCCAGTACCTGCGTGATTAGTCATCGACATATACAGAGAGAAGTAGCTCCGGCTACAATGTACTTCCGCAAGACGCACGCAGTTCTGTTTATTAACCGCTAGAGCGCCAGAAGTTACGGACTGCAGCTTTAATATATAAAAATAAAATTTTTCTGAAACATATACATGCATGTGTGTGTATTTATATACACATAATAAATATACACAGTACACATACATATATTATGGAAACACATTTTTTTAATTTTTTATGCGATTAATCGCGATTAATCGTTTGACAGCACTATTATAAACACTTTTCTTTCTCTTCTGCTGGCTATCATATGAGGAAGACGTTCCGGCATACATCCTACGTAATCCGCCGGAACAGCTTGCACGCATGATAATCAGCGGAAGTGAGAAAAAAGTATTTATAACATTTTAAATATGGATATTTTTCGATTTGCATCGATTTGCTAGAGGAGGCCTTTATTCACCCCCCAGAACCGTGTGAGGCACGTTTTATTATGGATGCA